GCCCAACAGGGCTGATGCCGATACAGAGTGTACAGCTGTGAATGTAAGTTAGGGTTGTCGTTAAAATGTTTTATGAATCTTTGAATTTTTGTAGGAAAAATTATGTTAGAGCCTATTTTTCAATTTTAATTTTGACTATACCTCTAGAATAAAATTGACGTACTTTGACAGTTTCTAGTATGGAAGAATTCTCAAATATTCAAAGATTTCGTTAAAATTTTAAATCAGCGTTGGAAAACTCGGCCATAAGTATTTTAACTAGGTCAAGTATAGTCTAAAAGGTCAATGACATAATAATATTATTTCATATTTATAACACACGCTGTATATTAGTATAGATACTATAGACAAAGCTAATTATAGTTTAATTGGTCAATGAAGCTATGTAGATGGAGATCTTAAGTAAAAAATACTTGTACTAAGAAGAAACGAACGATGAGTGAGTAACCGCTTATTTTTATTCAAAGAAAAGGTACTTATCTGTCTATACATATAATAAATCAGTAGAAAAATATTTTTTGTACATTGAAGAAATTGACAAAAAAAAAATAGCCAGCGTTGTAAATGATAACTAATATCATCATTTTTGACAATTTTGTCCTTATGTCTGTTTGTTTGTGCGCGCATCACGTAAAATCTACGAATTTAATACAGACATTGCTTATATACAAAAATTCTACGCAACTTGAGGTATAACTTAGTTTTCGTTTCATCGAAATCGGTTCACTCTATCAGAAGATATGATTAATTTAGTGAGTTCAAGAAGTAAAATATTACAACACGCAATTCAGTATAGTACTTGCAACGACACCTTAAGACTAAAAATAGAACTAATGTTGACAGTTGAAATCTTTATCCGAAGGATGCTATTGTGCAGTTACGTCATTTTCTGAATGGCGGTGTTAAGATTGTCCGCGCGAGAATCACCGTCGACCGTGTTTTCTTTACCGATTGAATTTAGTTAGGAATCAATCAAATTCTTGAGTGTACCGTTAAAGGTATTTTTTTTTTTAAGGGGGGCAAATCATCTAATGACTGCTCCCGCCTGGGTGAGGCGGAAGGGGGTGTCAGACTCTTACTGACTAAAAACCACCCCGTTCCTTCTCCTGCACGTCGAGCCGGAGCCCCGGTTACCCGTTAGGTTCTCCGCGACTCCGAATCGGCATCGGCCCTATTGGGCCCCATCTGTGGTGGTCTGATGGCTCTTTGAGGCGCGCGCGGAACGCGACGCGCCGTACGCTCGGGTCTGTTTCTGGTCGGACGGGGAGCCACCCATGCTCGCCGTCCGCAGGCCCGCGCTTACGGTGGCCGGAGATCGTCCCGCGATCCCCGACGCCCGGTGTGTCCTTCGCGATGGCTGGGTTCTCGCCTCCTCCTTAGCACCGTTAAAGGTCTTTGGCTGATTGGAAAATTGGTTTCGTTTGGTCATTGGTTTGAAGACCGAAGTAAATATACTATTTGATATTTAAAACAAGTAGAATAAGCATGAGAATGAGATATACCTGCATTATTCTATACCCGGGCTCTAAAGTATGGGTATGGCCGGATTTTTTTTTGTTTTTTTTTTAAGGGGGTAAAATCATCGAATGACTGCTCCCGCCTGGGTGAGGCGGGAGGGAGTGTCAGACTCTTACTGACTAAAAACCACCCCGTTCCTTCTCCTGCACGTCGAGCCGGAGCCCCGGTTACCCGTTAGGTTCTCCGCGACATGGGTATGGCCGTATACCCAGTATCGAAATACCTATAATAATAGGTATTTTGAAATCTGGCCTTTACGGTCGCCTTAAATTCAGAACGTCAGTCGTACGAATGACCTTTTTGTAACATATTTGAATGAACGAAAACGAAAACAAAATCAGTCCAGTATACAATTAGTTGTAGTGTGTTGCTTTTTCCAATCACTGTAATTAATTACAATAATTAAGCAGTTTTTGTTGTTTTTTTAATTCATTAATTTTTTTTCTATTTTTATTAACTGTCATTTATTTTTTGTTTTGGTGCTGAAATAGCAGTTGCGACAAATTTTGACTACCAAGTCGCGATCTCCGTTCAGTAAAATCACTTTTATCTTAATTAAATAACGTAAATAACTTTTTTACGGAAAAAAGCTTTAATAATTCAAAATAAATACTCTTTAACATTATTACGCAATAAACTTCTGAATGCACGTAGAAATAAAGAACAAATTTGTATCACCGCGTGTATTCGGGAAGCGTCGTGACTGTTCGGGTAAATTCGGCGAGCTGCATTAAGATTATGAATGACCGCACTGGGTATTAGTGGGTATGACGTCATACCCGGTCAATAGGGCCGTACTGTCAGTTCTGTCACAGTCTATACAGTCGTCGAACGAAGACGTCTAGACAGGGCAATCGTGCGGGGCGTGAAGGGCGAGACGCGGGTAGGCCGATCCCGAACTGCGAACAAAACGATGTTAGTAGCTCAGGATATAATTATTATTTAGGGTTAACGCGTGTTTGTTTTTACCGACTTAAAAAAAAGGAGGAGACACTATGTTCGAATGATTGTTTCTTTTTTATGTATGTTTTCCGTTGCATGCAATTTTCAATTTATCTTCATGGGTGTCGTTTTCATGGTTTTCGAGGTTGGTGAAAATGATAGTTGTCAAAATGTAAATCCAAGATGGCCACATCCTGAAATTTTCAACTTTTGTTCATGGGTATCGTTTTCAGGGTTTTCGAGGTTGGTAAAAATGATAATTGTCAAAATGTAAATCCAAGATGGCCACTGTCTGAAGTTTTCAACCTTTTTCATGGGTGTCGTTTTCAGGGTTTTCGAGGGTGGTAAAATCGATGGTGCTGTCAAAATGGAAATCCAAGATGGCGGCTGCACGAAATTTTTAATTTATCGTCATAACTATCGTTTTCATGGTTTTCGAGTGTGGTGAAAATCATGGTGTTGTCAAAATGCCAATCCAAGATGGCCGCTGGCTAAAATTTGTAATTTATCATCATGGGTATCGTTTTCATGGTTTTTGATGATGATGGCGCTGTCAGAATATAATCCAAGATGGCGGCTGCATGAAATGTTCAATTTATTGTCATGGGTGTCGTTTTTACGTAACTACATTGTGTTTGGGTTTGTATAATTTGTATTGATCAGAACTTTGCACCTATGTGGATTATAAGTGGTCAAAACGGGTCTATGTAGCTTTACCCTAAAAATAAAAAAATAAAAAATAACTATATTAGTACTGATGAGTTACTATTGTGTCATTAACGCCACTATCTATTTTTGAGTTCAACTTTCGATAAAACATTTACTCATTGTTGGCAAATAGGTAATTGTCCTGTCTTCGTTTTTATAATAACTATCGTGAGACATACTAAATTAAGTAAAAACGCGGGTTACTCACGTGAATATACTGAGATATATTCACGTGAGTAACCCGCGTTTTTACTTAATGTCCTGTCTTCTTTGTAATGCGGTTCTATATCTTTTATATCTATTTGATTTGAGTGCTAGATTTTGCTTTAGGGTGTCGAGGTATTCTTCCGGTGTTTTGTTGTTTGGTTCGTGTCTAGTATGTAGTCTAGTATTATTAAATATTGCTCTGTCACTCTGTCTACTACCTTTTTAGATCTATTATTGTGTGCAATGTATTGAGTGAGTTTTTCTATATCTGACCTTAACTTATTTATTTGTCTTTCTAGTCTTATTTGCCATGCGGGTTTACGATCTTGTGAATATCGTTTAGGTCTATCATTATCTTGCAGTTTATATCCTAGCTCGTGTGGTATAACTGATGCAGTACAGTAAATTAATCTATGAATATCACTAAGTTTTGAATCAATTGTTATGTATTTTTCTGGTAGACTATTATTAAATATATGAACTAATTTGAGAAGGTGTTTGCTGTATTTTAACTTAGGTAGTTTAAGGACGTGCTGAAGAATCCATTCCGGAAAAGAGTAAAATAGCGCTTTGTAATTTTTCATCCTGGTATCGTAGAGGTATTTTCGTTTCTATTTTCAACCGCAAGAGATTCTACTTCGTTTTCAATTAATAATGTTATAATATCTGTTTGAGTGCTCCTGTCTGATGTCGATTGTTGTGTTGATAATATATGCCCGATGTGTGAGTCAGATGTTTGAGATTGGTGTTGTGTATGACTTAGTGACCTAGGTACATTAGTTATGGTAGCGTGGTTATGAGTGGAAGGATAGTATGAGTGTGGTTGTGAGTTTGTGAAGTCATGTACTACATGACCATTACCAACCAACCAGGTACTCCGTGCGGTGGAGTGAAGCTGGCCGCGCGCGCATCCATCGTGCTGCGCCGCCGCCGTGATCTTGAAACGGATAGTGGTGAGGACTTGTGGGCGGACTTTACATGTTGCTTATATTAAGCCTAGTGCTAGTGATGATGAGTACATTAGATGGTTTTGTAAAGAAGAAGAATTTATAAACACTTTAAAAGGTTTTGTTATAATTTTAGGAGACATAAATAAACGACATAATTAATATAGCGTATCGTTAATTATTAACTAAAAATCGCGGGTTACTCACGCGAATATACTGAGACAAGCTCTACTAGTTTCGAACTACAGAGGGGTTCTTCCTCATGAGCAGCATGCGCGGTCGCGGCGATGTCGCGCAGCCTACTGTTATTTTAAAAACATAAAAAAATATATTATTAGTGTTACTTTTGTCAGTTTTTAGTCTGAGTGAGATGAATGTTGTGAAGAATTTGCACGGAGGATCGTGTTTATCTTAAATCAGAAAATCGGAGTTATTTAGTTTTCCTACTACGGGGACGATATAAATTGCTAACAGAGTTACTGACAAGGAAGTTGGTATGTTGCAAAAAAAGATGCTTTTTTGGTGGGCACCCGAACCCGGGCCGTTGGCAAAAAAAATTGTTGTGTCCGGCGGGCGGGGGTCGGGGGTAGCAATAACTGCGCAGTAAGGGTGCACTGGAACTTTTACCTGAGTTACGTACGGCTTGCCATTCAGTAGTGTACCACACTTTGGAGCGACTGGATATAATTATGTGGTCTGTGAGTTCAACATCTGGAAGTTCTTCGAGAAATACGAAGTGGGTTCTCGTGCAATGGCCAACTAAAAAGCGTGATTTGGTCAACATGAAATCTCTTTTGTGCTCTTCGGAGGACGAGGTGAGGGCTGGGAGATATGTAAACCTGCACTGGGCTGGGAGGCAGAATACGGCACTTGTTGTTGCGATTTCAGGTAAGTACCTAATTGTCTTATTGTAAAGTATCATGCTAAACTTTAACGGTACATAAACATTTTTCACAACAATGGTATTACCGTAATTAAATAATACCTAATTATAAAAAATATACCTAATGCGAAAATTGCGTGCCGATGGATGTGTGTGTTTTTGTTACCCTTACACGAAAAACTAATGGATGTGATTTTGTATAGATATAGATTATACAGTCTGGAAATATTGTGGACGAAGCCGAATGGTTAGAGCTGGTTTAGAAATTTTTTAGATAATATCTCTTCCCTTCACTTGAAAATTTACCTGTGAAACGTGGTATTTTTATATTAGACAAAAGGATTAACAGGAAAAGAAAGTACTAATTGTTTAAGTAGGATCCATCCGTCCGATCGACCGTATTTAACTGAAAAAGTCTATTGAGAGCATAATTGTCAAATTCGATTTTATTTCTGTATCCTTAAAGCCGAATTCAAGTTCTATGTTAAAACTAGTATTGACAATAGACAAAGCGTAGGTAACAGAATATAACAATAAGTTTGCACGAAGGTACCCGATACCCGGAATTTATGATGTTATCTATTGGACTTTGTTTCAAGAACAATGTTTTAAAGAATTACCTGACATTCGGTTTAGGGTACCCTATAGAATTGTTATGTATTGTCTCTCCGTCTGTCTATTCATGTGTATTTTAAGACCACTTTACGAACATACATATCTAATGGTATTTTATTTAGGTGTAATCAGATTGTGAAGCAATCAATTTGATACCTAAACCTTACTCTTGAATTTACCTAATCAGTTACCTAAGCATTTAATTCTAACAAGATCCGCCATTTTTGTATCGTCAAAATTCCAAGGCTTCTGATTGGCTACTCGAAAGGAATGCTTGTTCGAATAGTGAAAGGGGAACGCCTTGCCGCAATAAATCGCATCGCAACGTATAGAACCGCGGGAAATTGCGTCGCATCGCAGCATGTGTGCAAGCCTTGGTTGCCTTAAATACCATTAATAGTCCAGGGTTGATAATTTTTAAAACCAAAAAAAATCATAATAGGATGAAACCCATTAGAAATTTTTTGAAAACTTACTTTTTTATGTCCCAAATACGCTGTAATTTATTTGATTAAAAATATTTATTTTTTCACCTTACTTTGAATGAATATCGAAAAAACACCCTAATTTTCAATCGAAAATTCACCCGTCAAAATATCAGCTTTTTTAAAAAGTTGGTATGGTTTCTGTTCGTTGAAATCTCTACTTTCCGATAAAAAAAAAAAATATATGTTACCATGGTAAATCTTCTCAGAAAACGAAAAAAAAAAAAAAAAACTTGAATTCGAAATTTTTTTTAATTATTATAAATAATTTCATCCTAAAAAAGTGATTGCTTTTTTTTCTTTCAATTAAAAAGTTGATTTATTTAATTCTAATTACTTTTTTTTCATAGAAAATCTCATTATAGATAAATATAAATGTCTGATTGAATGAATTGATGAATTGCCTATTCTTGTCGCATAGTCTGTAAGAATATTTCATTGTGGGTCAGTTATCAAATTGGCCATGATACACAAGGTATTATTTAAAGAATTAACATCATGTACCATCGACCTAATAAAAAAAATCAGTAAATTAAATTAAATAATTCTTTTATAAACTACGTTAAAAAACCGACTTCAGTCCCTCCTTTTTTAAAGTCGGTTAACCTTTTCCAAAGTATAACAAACACTTTTCTGGAAACCCAAACAAAATCGGTTCAGCCAGTCGCGAGATAATCGCGCATAAACAAACATACTAAGAACCTCCTTCTTTTTTTAAAGTCGCTAAATTAAAAGCAACCGGTACACTAACGTTTTCTTGCAGATGATCGTCAAAGGCTGGAAAGTATGATGAAACGATCGAGGTCACCTGTAGCAGGTTCTAGCTGGAGCAGGAAGATGGAAAAGATCGATGGGGATTATTCCCCGAGTGCTTCGTCTTGGAAGCCAAGTGAGGATGAGACTACGTCGTCCGCAGACTCCGATGAGGTTCATTCAACTTTACTAATTATAAAATATATATAAATGCGTGTTTGAATGAGTTTGGTTACTAAACATGAAGAAATATTATTTCCATATACACAAGAACAGATGTACCTACAAGGTACAATTTGTTATATCTGCACAAATCTAAACAAATAATGTAACCGTGTCGTGTAAACTAGGTATTCCTGTATGGTCGTGCCGTTGTTAGGTATAGGTAGTATAGTATAAGTATCAATTACATTTGTATAACTAGTATGTGTGCCCATATTTAATATACTAATTTTATCTAATAACTAAAATAATGTTACGTAAAAAGTAAAAAGGTGCGATGTCATTTTCAATTACTGTCCCAAAAATATTCGTAAAAATGTTACCATTGTTATTTTATTAAACTTTGAAATTATAAACTTTTGCAGGACATCCAAGCAATCAGAAAGCACAAAATTATTGACAAGAAACGCCGACTATTAAACCGACATTCAATGAATAACCTAGTGACTCCAAAGCACAGGTCCACTCCAATTGAATCGCGTTCTGAGTCGTCATTAAAGAGTTTACGCAGAGAGAACGTAAAATTCCAGGATGGCAGAATTAACAAGGGACGTACAGACAGATCTTTACCGGCTTCAGCAAGAAACATCAGAACTGAGAGAATTAATCATAAAATTCGACCAATTAAAAAGGATGATTGTTTTTACCGTATGGAAAATTTGATAACGATGTTTGAATGCCTAATAGATTCTATCACAGAATGCAGAAAGAGTATGTCGCCGAAGGCTCGACGGCTGGAGGAGTCACCGGAGGCGCCACAGCGGCATGAGTCGCTGAAGTTATCTGAGTCGTTGAAGTCATCGGAGTCACTGGATGCACAGACTTATAACAGGAAACAACAGCGAAAACATATGAACGGCTGTCTAAATGAGGCTCAAGCTGGCCCCAGCCGACCCGTGGAACCCATGGAGGAAGATCATGAGAATGAGTTTGATCGATCAGATGACGAGGTCCTCATCACTAACCACTTGAGCAGAGTTCTCAATAAAGAAATTCACAGAATGAAAACGGATAAAAATGTCACTCGAAAAACTATAGAGAAAAGTGTGAAGAGGATCACGACAGAAATAAAGAGCTGTCAGAAAGCAATAGTTGAACTTAAAGCCAATAAGGAAAATGAAAATATTAATACCGCCATAAAACCAACAGACAAAACAGATAAAGAATGGGTAATGTTATACTTTGTTATAGTTCTTTTATAGGTATACTTACCGTATTCCTGAAAATGGGAAGTTAAATAATAATACTTTAGTACCTATTATTTAATTTTCGATTAAAAAGGCTTTTAATTATTATCCTAGAAAAGTACAATTTACACGCATATATTATACTAGCAGCCCGTCTCGGCTTCGCACGGGGTAGACAATTATTTATTTTTGGAAATTTGGATTGTTGTAGTCACATAACTACAATAGTTGGACATATGCTACCGCGGAGTTTTTGTAGACATTATGATATTCTTCAATATTGTTGTACATTATTTTGTTCTATCCCTAATAGTTTCGGCAGCGCATTCGACGAAAGACATTTTAAGACTCATTTTTCTACCCCTTCGGTTACTTTGTTCAAATTTTACCAAGGACCCCTGTTTTTTTTTTCAACATGAAATGTAGCCTATGTCAAATTGGAAGAATGTAGCATTCTATTGGTGAAAGAATTTTTTAAATCGGCTCAGTACTTCTTGAGCCTATTCATTACAAACATACAAAAATAGGTACAAATCTTTCCTCTTTATAATATTAGTATGGATAGTATGGATAAATGACATTTTACTTCAGATTAAATTGAAATAATTGCGCCTACATCATAATCGCTAACTAATCAATGCTTTTGTGAATACACAGTAGACTGTTACTGTGTTGGTGTTCCAACTAGCATCTACCTTAAAAGTCAAATACCAATTGGAACACGTAACTGTTATCAAAATAACTAACATAAAACTTTATTAGGCGAAACATAATAAGTCTCTCATTGAATTGGGATAATGGCAATGTAACAATAAGAACATAGGTCGGAAAAGACATGTACTTTTTATTATTATTTATTTATTTATTTTTAGCCATAGTCGTCTCACTGCAGGGCAAAGGCCTCCCTACCAATCTACTGGCCAATCCTTATCAATTATTACTTATGGCAATCGAAATATATAATGGTGAATATTTTTATCTAAAGATTTACAATAGAATGATAATAATATTGTTTTCAGATCGGCATTGGCACCGGAAAAACATTGGTACATAAGGATAAGTATAAAAATGTCAACTGGAAGTCCTATACAATTGCCACAAGGTCTTTGCTTCTTGCAATCTTCTCAAGACAGTAAGTAATGCAAACTACATATATCATAACTGTGCTGTGGAAAGTTGTAATTTGAATGTACATTTTATACATTTTGAGTTTCTTTTTTTTATTTATATTATACTAGCTTTTACCCGCGGCTTCGCTCGTTTTTTTTAATAATAAAAAGTAGCCTATGTGACATATACCAATACATTTTTTTTCATATATAC